TGCTACGGCCACATCCTTAATCTAGTGGGCAAGGCCTTCCTTCACGGCGAGGACTACGAGACATTTGAGGAGGAATCTCAACGGCAGAACTCCTCTGATACTCTCCCGGCTGATCTGCGATTATGGAGGAGCAAGGCCCTGTTAGCAAACTCCGGAAGATCATCAAGTTCATCAGATCATCGCCCCAGCGCAGCGAATCTTTCAAGATCCTAGCCCAGGAAACTGACAATCAAGACGACTGGCTGCTCCATGAAGAATCAACAGCCGAGTTACAGCTCACTCTCAGCAACGACACGCGATGGAACTCCACGTACCTTATGATCGACAGAGCTATCAAGAAGAAGAATCACATCCAGTCTTTCCTTGTACAGTTCCAACTCTCTGAAGGCGAGGGATACGGGATTTCTGCCCAAGACTTTCTTACTGCCGAGGACTGGCGACTGCTTGCTGAGCTGAAGGCGGTAATCGAGCCTCTTTACTTCCAGACCATGAGATGCCAAGGCTGGGGCGAGAAGGGCTCTTTCGGCTATCTCTGGGAGGTCCTTTCTGGGATGGAGTTTCTCCTGGAAAAGTTAGAGGACTGGAAGCTCTTCTTCGATGAGCCAGGAGACGATGCTATTAGCCAGAGCCAGGTTCATCTACCTTGTCGAGCTCTACGCAATGGACGCATACGAGGAAATCAGTCCGCTCGTGTACGATCTCCCGAGTTGAATACGCAGGCCTTGCCTCTCCACGTTCAAGAAGAATTCTCCCTCGGCCCTCCAAGCGTAGCGGCGCGCCTGAACGTTCTCTCTAGCGATTCGCGAGGCTACCTTCGTCTCTCTATCACAAACGCGTGGCAGAAGCTCAACGAGTACTACACGAAGCTTGGAGAGTCTCCCCTCTTTGCAGCAGCAATCATTTTACATCCAGGGCGCAGTCTGCGTTGGCTTGAGACTCGCTGGAATACGGGCGATCAGCTTGCGTGGCTTCGAGATGCCAAGGAAGGTCTCGAGGGATACTGGACAGCGTGGTATCACGATCAAGCGAACAACCAGTCTCCTCCTC